GTTCCTTCTCCCCGTCCCCCTCCCCCTCCCAGGGAAAAGGGGGTTAGGTTGCACAGGCGGATGTGCGGCGGTTGTGATGTCATATTTGTTTCCTTGTTTTTGATTGGGGAGTTCTGTTTGCTATTTTGGCTTTTGGTTTGCAATTTTTGACCAGCAGTAGTTTGTTTTGGAATTCCTACCTTTCTGGGAGCCTGACCTGGTAGATGGCAGACAAAGACTGCTTCCAGTTACACGGGGGTGTCTTTAGGTCATTGCTCCTTGTGCCACTCTTTAGGGGGCCAGGTTCTGGCTCTGGTCCTCGGTAGGCTTAGAACTCCTTCGATTGACTGTTGCCACTGTCTAATATATACACATCAGCCCGGTATAGCTCCGGGAAGCCTCCGGGTCTCACTCTGAAAATGGCGTTTCATTACATTCAACGCTGGTTGTTTAGGTCCAAATAGACAGTCAACCCAACCATCTCTTTCCTGTAGTATCTCTGCTGCTCTATCATAAAAACAAAGAAGATTTGTTACACAGGATCTTCCTGTTCAAAAACCATACTGTCTGTCCGTCGTTATGTCATTACTCTCTAGGTGTTCAACCCATATGGCTTTATCTATTTTTTCTAGAGTTTTGACTACCACACTTTTTAATGATACGGATCTATAATTTAGAGGTTCCTTATTACTACTATTTTTATAGATTGGTACTATGTTTGCCTTTTTCTGTATATCTGCTAAGATTCCTGCGCACAAGGATGTCTGGAATATTAATTGGAGTCGAATACTCAGCTCATATATACATTCTTGCAGCACCCAAGGTGAAACTCAATCAGGTCCAACTGCTTGATTTCTTCCTAGCCCATTGAGTAATTTTTCCACTTCGTCTTGATGTACCTGTATATTGCATGGCATGCTCTGGAATTGGTACAGTATTTGATCCAGCTTTCTGAAATCCTCATTTTATACATACACATTTTGGAACTGTTCATTTAACATTTTACACATTTCTTTTTCATTCTCAGTAGTCCTGTTCCCCATTCCCAATCTTTGGATTTTATCCTTTATATACAGCTTGCTTTTAATGAATTTATAGAAAAGGCCTGGATTTGTTCTTCATTTGTCTGCTATACCTTTCTCAAAGTTCCTTTCTGCCTTTCTTCTACCTGCTGTGTAATTGTTTCTTGCTTGTATTGCTGGTATTTTTGTGGGTTAGGCCTCTTCCGATATTGAACCCATTTTCTTGTCTTATCCTCTCTGGCTCCCCCGTCACAATTTCTGTGGAACTAGTCCTGTTTTCTCGTCCTGCATATCTGTTTTGGTATTGTTATGAGAATGGTGGACTTGCTCTGGGGGAACTAGTACTATTAAGGGGTAAGGGTAGTTAGAATACAGAGTTATCAAATATGGAAGAACTAAAAGGCCCGGCCCCCAAAATAAACTATCCACAGTAATAATAACTTGCTACTAGACCATGTCAGACTAGAGGTTGATCATAGCACTCCCACACAGGAAGAAGGGATACTCCATTACTAACTTACTTATTTATTAACCCCTTAACAACCCCCCATACACACTCACACCAATAACAATAATAATAACTACTTTACCACACTGTCTTACATTAAAAGCCTTGGTCCACATAGACAGGATACAAGGTTTACACTGTGAACATGCTAGGGTAAAGTACTACTGGATAAGCACTGAAGCTGGATGCAGCTTAGGGTAGTGAGACCACATGGTACCCTAATACAAAAACACAACACTTAGGGGTACCCAAAACACTGGCAAATACTACCCCCAGGTCTCACCAATCTATACTACCAGAGTAGGTACACATGAAACACACCGTACTTAACTTAATGGTACAGAAACTTAAGGTAAGGGAAATAAGTCAGGGGTGCAGCCACAGAGTAGGGGTGCAGCCACAGAGTAGGGGTGCAGCCACAGATTAGGTCTCGACACCACGAACGCCAGCCAGAGAAGCACGCTTCCAGCGACCAGCTCAGGCCTCCCGCATTGTGGTGGTGCCGGGAGGAGCCTAATTGATCGTGCAGCTAAATGCATTAAAATCTTCCCCTATGCAACATATTGTTACTTTCCTCGTTCTCAGGGTAGTTAATCTTATAACAATGTTATACTTAATCCACAACAAGCTCAAGAGTCTGAATGCTTGTGAGCAACAAGATTCGTCCTACGTTTGGCAGGGAAGATACGAACAAAGACACGTCGACTTGCGTCTTGCTAATCTAACGTAGCTTATTTAGTTCAATTTTGACCTCTGGTTTCCACTTGAGGAACCCAGGGTCGTAACAGGTATGAATGTTTGTGTTTCTTCATCATATATTTTGCAAAACTTGGCATACATCTTATTTACTTCCTTGCCTAGCAATAAGTCTGTCCAATTAAACTTATTAAAAAAATTCAAAGTTCCCCTTAGTGTCCTTTCTTGAAATCGAGTTTGTCAACGGTTTCAATGTCCCCATTCTCTTCTTGATTATATTGCAAATCATATTTAATTTTCAACAGGACAAGATCACTTCTTCCCAAGGGAGGAAGGTACTGGATGTCAAATATCTCTTCTTCTTTCCTTGTGAATATTAGATCCAGTATTGACATCCCCTTCCCTCATTCTTGTGGCCTGCTTGACGTGTTGATACATGTCGTCTCCAGAATGAGGCTTACAAATCTGTCTGTCCAAATGTCCCTTGTTCTTGTTTTAGAGGCCTCTTGGTCTATTGCTTTCAAGTTGAAGTACCTCAGTACCAAGAATCGGGATTTATCTTTATCTGCTTTTACTATACTCTCTCATGGCTATTATAAGGCCCCTCTTGTTTGTCATCTAGTTCCTCCTTTATCCATGTGTTGCTTGCTGGTGGGCTGTATGAATTTACAATTATCATCCTGATTCCAGACATGCAATGCCATTATGTCAACTTCTTGAAGGTTGTCGATTATTAATTCTTACCTTCAGGTGTTCTTTCTCCAGCACAGCCACACCGCCCCCTTTCCTAGTTTTCCTGTCACGTCTCCAAACTTAGTAGTCCCTTGGAAATATGACTTTTGTGCTTGTTACACAGCATGCTGCTTATGCTTATACCATGTGTTGATACATGAATGTCTCCTCTAAACCTTATCTTGGAGACATGTATCAACATGTTAAGCAGGTGACCAGAATAAAGGAAAGTGATGTTTCGTGAATTCTGGTTTTAATATTCTTGATACTTGGTACCTTCCTCCTTTGAGAAAGAGTGACCGTGTCCTGTTGGAAATTAAGTATGCTATGGAATGTAGTCTAGAAGAGAAAGGCGAAATTGAAATATTTGATAAATTTGATTTAAAGAGAGGACACTATGGGGAACTTAGAAAATTCTTTACTGAATTTAATTATAAAGACTTGTTGCTAGCAAGGAAATAAATGAGATGTATGTCAAATTCTGTGAAATATATGAATTGAAATAAAAAAAAAATTATACCAAAAAGAAAGATGTAGAGTTGGAAATCCGGATTAATTAAACAGAAATTGTGATTTAGAGAGAAAAAGACTAGAAAATGGTTACAATATTGGAAGAGGCCTAACTCGCAAACATATCAGCACTTTCACTCAGTACTCAAACATAACATACCAGCACAAGAGGCCTGACAGCTGAGTGGACAACGCTTCGGATTCGTAGTCCTGAGGTTCCGGGTTCGATCCCTGGTGGAGGCAGAAACAAATGGGCAGAGTTTCTTTCACCCTGATGCCCGTGTTACCTAGCAGTAAATAGGTACCTGGGAGTTACAGCTGCTAGGGGCTGCTTCCTAGGGATGTGTAGCAAAATGAGGCCTGGTCGAGGATCTCTAAGATAACATCAAGATAAGCAAGCAAGAAACAGATATATAGCAGTGAGGAGAGGGGGTAGAAAGGAACTTTGAGAAATGGGTAGTGGACAAATGTAAAACAGATCCAGGCCTATTCTATAAATTCTTTAAAAAGCAAGCTGCATGTAAAGGATAAAATCCATAGATTGAGAATAGGGAACAGGTTTACAGATAATGAAAAACAAATGTGCAAAACACTAAATGAACAGTTCCAAAGTGTGTTTGTGTACATAATAAGGTTTTCAGAGACCTAGGCTCAATGCTATTTCCAGAGAACAACATAGAATACATTAGTGGTATCTCAAGATGAAGTGGACAAAATTACTCTAAGGGCTGGGAAGAAATAAAGCAGTTGGATCAGATAGAGTTTCACCTTGGGTGCTGCAAGAATATGCAACTGAGCTGAGCATTCCATTCCAACTGATGTTCCAGACATCCTTGTGCAAAGAAAGAAACCTTAGCAGAGATTATGGAGAAAATATGGAGAAAGGCAAACATAGTTCCAGTCTAAAAATAGTAGCAGAGAAAATCCTCTAAACTATAGACCCATATCAGTAAGATGCATGGTAGTCAAAACACTGGAAAAATAGTTAAAAACCAAATGGGTAGAACACCTGGTGAGTAACGACATTCAACAATATGGTTTTCGAACAGGAAGATCCTGTGTACCAAATCTACTTAGTTTTTATGATGGAGTTGCAGAGATTCTACAGGAAATAGATGGTTGGGTTGACTGTGTCTATCTGGATCTAGAGAAAAGGTCCCCCCTTTGTCTTTCTCACACAAGAGAGCTTTGGAAACTGAAATATGCTGGAGGGGTGATAGAACTCCAGAGCACATATTCAAATTTATAGCACATAGAGGTGTCTAGAGACAGCGGGGAAGAAAAAATGCTCGTGGAGCAAAGTAAGAACAAAGCAGTTGGCCCAGATGAAGTTTCACCGTGAGTTCTGAGAGAATGCACACCTAAACTCAGCACTCGATTTCAACTGATTTTTCATAATTTTTTTTAATTAGCTTTACTGTATTATATAGTACAGTTCTCTTTTCATTTGACTACTTCTTGTATCTACTTAGTTTTGCTTCATAGTTTAGTTTGTTTTGCAATAAACATAAATAATTTACATGTTTAGTAGTTACAGATAACTTTGTTTTCAGGTGGGTGGTCCATCGGAGAAGGCAGGAGGCAGTGACAACAACACTAGCACAGGAGCAAGTGGCAGTGGTGGCAGCAGCAGCAGTGGTAGTGGTGGTTGTAGTAGCCAGTGGCGACCTTGCAACATCTGTTTAGAGGAAATGTGTCAAACAGAATTGAGAACCCACCACACATGTGAAGATTGTCTGCTTTGTGATAACTGTATAGAGGTAGGTTGAAGTAGAAAATTAATTGCTCTGTCTAGATGTTTGGTTATGTTCCTGGGGGAGGAACCCCGTCAGCTCCCCGGAGCTTTCCAGGCTAATATGCTAATGTCAGACTTTGGCATCAGTCATGTGTATGGAGTTCTGTGGGCCTACCGGGGACAACAAGCCAGAACCTGGCCGCCTCAGAGAGCCATAGGGAGTAATGGCCTATAGAAACCCCCGTGTGGTTGGAAGCATTCTGTGTCTGCCACAACCGGGTTAGGCACCCAGAAAGGTAAGCGTCCCAAAACAAACCCCTATTCTGGTGAAAAGAAAAGCCAAACAAGTGGATAGAACTCCACATGGGGTTCTGTTGATTGTTTTGGTTTTGTTCCTTCCTCGCCCCCCCTTGTCTTTCCCCTGTTGTGGTTTTGTCTGATCCCCCCCCTTTTCTTCCCTGCATCTGGATCCTTTCCATCTGTGGGGTCGGGGTGGGGATTCGCTGGTCTTGAGACTCGGGTGGTTTTCGGGGTTTTCCTTTCTGGGGTGGCGACGGAGGCATTCGAGCCTGTTCCTCCAACCTGGTTGTATGGGTCTGCCAGGAGGCTCCCTTCCTTAGTAATTTTCCATCTGACCCGGCTTTTTCTTGAGGCTTGATGCTTTGGTGGGACGACTCGGCCCCGTGGCATGGAGGTTCCCGGGGTTGGGGAGAGGCTGACTTGGGGGGCCTCAGGCCCCATTGGACCCCCGCCGGGGTTTTCTACCCTCAGTGTGGAGCTTGCGGTTATGGGGGGGGGGGGGCCCTTCCCCCCCCCCAGCCTACGAGTTGATGGGCGTCGGTCCCTCCCTGGGTTCAGATCCTTGTCCCTTTGGGTCCGTCTAGTTCTGTCCTATCGATGGGGTACTTTCCTCTGTTGCTACCCCTTTTTCTCTGAGGCCTGACTTCTCCGTCATGTCAAGGTTATGTTCCTCTATTATCGAGGTTCTGCATGACTTTTGGTCTCGGGTGCGACTGTGCCTTTATGAGCCTTCGTGATTAAGTTTGCTTATGTTTGATCTCGGGGTTTGGGAAGGTCCTCGATTCTTCCCGCGTTATTGGAACATCTGTCGTCTTCCAGTAAGAATTACCTCCAGTCTTTTTTGGACTCGTTGATCCTCTTCCATGATTCTGCTCGGTTTTCGAAACTGTCTCGTTCTTTTGTTGTTCTATCTTCTCTCCGTGCTCTGTCTAGGCACTGCTAATCTTTTTGCAATACTCCTTGTTGGCACCCTCCCTGCTGGGCAGGGTTGTGCAATTCAGACCTCATTCGTCCTGCACATGCGCTGTGGGAGTTTTTGTCGTGGATGGTGTACACAAGCGCTGGTGTTCCGCGTCCATTTTCTCTTGGGTGCTTCACCTCTCTCGCTCCTCTCGTCTCTCCAGTCCGTGCCCCTTAGATGCTGGGGATATTCTGGATTGCCGCTATGGGGAGGACGCTGGGTTTTCCCTGCATATGGGTGTGGGGTGCCCCATTTGCCTCTACCCTACTCTTCTCCTGCAGGTGGGGCTCTGGCCTTCTTCCTCTGGTGATGCTCCCGGACTCCTCTCGGCTACGTTGTATCATGACACAGGAGCTACAGTGGACATCTTCAAGAGGAAACTAGATTGTTTCCTCCAAGGAGTACCAGACCAACCGGGCTGTAGTGGGTATGTGGGCCTGCGGGCCGCTCCTAGCAACAGCCTAGTGGACCAAACTCTCACAAGTCAAGCCTGGCCTCGGGCCAAGCTTGGGAGTAGTATCGTGCCTCCGTTGTGCAGGTGAGTTTATGTGGTCTGGTGTCTCTTTCGGCCAGGCGCTGGTTTGTGGATACAAGTGTACGAGCAAAGGTGCAAAGGTACAAAGGTGACTGCAGAGGGCCTATTGGTCCATGCGAGGCAGTTCTTATTTATACCCATCTGGTCCCTCTCATATGCATGTTCATCACGTGCTTGAGTTAATCAAGGAGCCCAACCTTTGCCATGTTACGAGGTAAAATGGTGGAGGTAAATGTTATGTAGTAAATGTTACACTGTGTTAGGATGTTAGGAGGTGACATTTTGCTGTGGCTTGTTACTGGGGATCCGGGTTTGGGTTTGGTTGTGGTGTTTTGTTTGGCCCGGGCGTGCTTCTTCCTGGGGCCTTCCTTGTTCATCTGTGTTGTTTGTTACATGGTGGGTCAAGGCCCCATTTTTTGTGGTCTTCTCTGGGTCGGTCACTCCTTGCCCGTCTTGCAGTGTCTGGCTTAGCCCTTCCATATATGTTGGATTCTCTGTGCTCACCTAGTTATCCTTACCTAGCTTGGCTTGCGGGGGTTGAGCTCTGGCTCTTTGGTCCCGCTTCTCGGCTGTCATTCGCCTGACATAGACATGGACTCTTTGTTGTTGGTCCTGTCCCTTTCGTTCCTGTTGCAGCCCGTTTTCCTCATTCCTCATCTTCCTTCAACCCTCGTGTCCTTCGCTGTTGGTGCTGGAGCTGTTTTTCTAGTCCGTATGGCTTGTTCTCCTGTGTCCGCTTCAGGTTGATTGACCTGAGGGGATATATGCGAGGGGTAGTTGGATTGTTTTGCGTGTAGGTTACTAATCAGGGCTTGAAGTCTGCGTGACGCCCTGTACAATTCAGTTTACACTTGTTTGTGTTGTGCTAACTAAGTGTCAGGGGGATGTAATAGTTCTGGTGTTACCTCGCCCCTCTCATTACACCTTGTTGTGTGGTTTAGTATGTGATTCTTGACACCAACTGCTGCCTTGCAGTTACCTTGCAGTGGTTCCGGGGCTTCGCGTCCCCGCGGCCCGATCATCGACCAGGCCTCCTCGTTGCTGGCCTGTTCGCCCAGGCTGTTTGACGCAGCTGCTCGTAGCCTGATGTATTACTTACAGCCTGGTTGATCTTGTATCCTTTGGAGGTGTTGATCCAGTTCTCTCTTGGTCACTGTGTGGGACTGGCCTGTTTTGTCCCTTCTGTGTCGTGGAGGCGTGTTGAACAATCTTGGGCCTCTGCGGTTGCTGGGGTTCTCCCAGAGTGAGGGGCTAGGTTGAGCTTTGTCCATGTTCACTTCCCTGCTTTTGTACTGCCCCTATGTTTGGATTTTTCCCTCTTGCCAGGTTTGGGCTCCTGGTTTCCTGGCTTACCCTGCCAGTTGGCATTTTCCGGATCTCGCGGTGTCACTTCTCACGAGTCTCGCATCGGAACCACTGTGGGGTTTTCTATTTTGCTTTCCCGGCTGCAATGCGTACGTCGCCAATGTACATGTGACAGACGCTTCACGAAGCAGTCGGAATCAGCAGAGAAAATACGAGAGCAACCGTACAAGGCCTGGGAGCAAGGTCGAGTTAGTCCTTGAGGGTCTCTTCTCTGACCAGGACCAGGACTCTCACCTGGTCCTGGTCCACGTTGATCTTTGGAATCTCCTCAATGCTTGAAACACTTTAAGGGACTCCTAGGGTCCTCATCACATTTATAGTTTAGTGAATTAGGCAACTCTGTGTTGGAGACACCTGGAGCTGAAGGCTTGAGTAAATAGTTGACAGTATTCAGAAGTGGTTCAACAGAAACACCGCATAAAGCTTAACAGTAGTTTATTTACTAACTTAACCACTAATACAAAGGGTGCTTGATTTACTTTAGATTGGCATCAGAAAGGCTATGGTTGCATTAGCAAGACACTTGACATCTGGCTAATCGACTCGGATCCACTCGTTGCGAAACACCTAACTTAAACACAGTTGACAGCCAATCATTAACACGGCAACCTAACTGCTGGTATGCAAAGGGACCACAAAGAGTTCCAACCAGATACTCAGGTAATGATGATATGCAATAAATCACAAATACACTGTCAATGGGACAGGCAATAATCATGCACAATAATAATATCACACAATAACTAAATGTGTGGTGTATGTGAAGCTCACATTCACAGACGAGTGCAATGTCGTGATACCACACAGATAAACACACACACACCGTTGGGTGTCTTCACCTATACCTGTGTCAGGTATGAGAAGGTGAGAACTGTGATCGATACCTCAGATCAACACAGACACAATAAAACAATGACAAGATCTTGTATATACAGGTAGGCTTATTCACTCACTCAGGCACATTTATGCAAGAACTCGTAGGTGGCCTGACAGCTGGTTTCCTCGTTATGATGTGAGACCATTGATGACAGGCTTTCCCACAAACTGTATTTGACACGGGGTTACTCGCAGGAGGGCGCACTGTATGTCCACAGACACACACACACACTGGCACTGGCGGTGAGTCAGGGTGGTGACGTCACGTAGTGTGAGGCAGGGCGGCTGGCAGCTTGAGGTACTGAGGTACTAGCTACACGCTCTGGACAGTGGCGGTTGGCGGCTGCAGGTTATATGGTTCCATGCAGGTACACTGTGGTAAAAGTCACGCACAGATTACTTAACACTTTCGCGCTCTCGGTGCTCAAAAAAAATCAATACCCTAGATGCTTTCGGCACTTCGCGCGCCTACGCGTAAGACCGAAAAAGTGTACACTCTTTTGACTGTCCTGACAATAATTGAAGGCGCACGTATTTAAATTTGGTATCCCTGTGTTCGCAATGAAATTGTCTATAAGAGCATACCTATAAAATGCCGCCCAAGCATAAGGAGTATCAACACCAAATAAAAAACTATGCAGATCACTCGCCGAGAGCGCCAAACAGCAACAAAATGTTTCCACTCTCTTAATGGTTGCGAAGCCTACAGTTGTCCTACATCGGTAATTTTGGTATCATTGGAATCGCAATAAAATTTTCTACACGGACATATGCATATGAATGTTTAATATAGGTAATTGCCCACCCGCAATAGTGTGTGAAGTGGAGAGTAGTTAGCCGCGAGCGCACTGGGGAAACACAGGGGGGAAATCATGCTTGGAAAGTTTATACATTTATACGTTTCCTGACCCTACTTTTCTATGTACGTATTTCTTTTTTATACCAATGTGTTCGCAATAAAATTTTCTATAAGATGAAATGTATAACA